CAAGTTGCTTAACATCTAGGAGTCTTGGTCCCTCCATTCTTAAATAGAGCTAATAAAATCCAACTGCATAATTGCTGCAAGAATAAGGAAAGGTATATAAAACATCTCTCATGCCAGCTAGCACACAGTAGGTGCTCAATTTGTGGTAGTTTTTCTGTAATTCACACAAACACCATATACAGACTACAGACAGACCATAGACCCAAAACATACACGTCCATATACATTAACAACTACCCTGGAACCGTGACTGACCCTGTGACCACAGAAAGTATAGCTGTTTCTCAGCTGAGTCCTGGAACTTTCATGAACAAGCATCTCTGCAGACTCACAAATGACGAATAGATGCCAAGAAAAGAGCTGGAAAAATGGCACCCTGCCCAGCTGAAATGAAATGCAAAGAATTCCTGTCTCAGTTACTTTTAATCCCAGAGGGAGCTGGATAATATTTTTAAGGTTTGAGTTAAGGAGGTGAGGAGGGGTGGGACCCGAGGACACCAGCGCTCCTAGTGCAAGGGGAGTAGGGATAACTCAAGTTACTGTCCATCATGAGACAAGTCCAGCATGCTGGCCATCAATGGTACCAACCTGAGCCAGCTCTGTTCCTCCTCTTGAGGGGCAAATGGTGCCTGTGAGTCCCTCCAGTGCCCTAGGAAGGTTCACACACAGCACCTCCGATGCTAGGGCCAGCAAGAAGGGCAATACCGGAAATCATCGCTGCCTCCTCCTCAAGACACACCTGGCCCTCTGTGTGAGCTGGACTCCTGCAGCACATCCGCAAAGGAGGCCAGCTCCCACGCCCCACCAGTGATGCCTATAGCTTCTCTTCTGTGTCAGTGCTCACAAAATTGAGTCTTTGTTTTGGCCATCTTGATTTTAACAGACTTTGTAGCCAGAAACATCTGGAAATTTGCCTTCTATGTCCACCAAGGAAAGACAGGCTCATACGAACTTGAAAATTTCCCCCTATTAATTAATACACTGTCCCCTCATGTTTTATTGCAAAGTAACTAACATACATAACTGTATAGATTTAAGGCATACAGAATGGTGGGTTGATTTACATGTATCGCTAATGCTTTTTTTTTTTAAATGGTCCATGATGCTCTGGTGGGAAATACATGCTGGGGTAACCGTATCTCTGTAGGCTTTTAGGATTTAAGATGGCTGCACTATGAGTTCTGTAGGACAGATGGGAGAGGAGGGAGAGGAATTTCTCTGAAGGAGAACAGAGGCTCTTGTCCTCTTAGTTTCGACTTCATTCAAAGGGAACCTTCAGTGTCACACTTTCATGGTGGATTAGAGATTGCTCTGATATTCTCCCAGCTGCTTCCCCATTCTGTGTTCCCCTCCCTCCCTCCCTGACTCCTAACTCCTCCATCAAATCTCTCTCTCTCTCTCTTCCCCTACTCCTGCCCTCCCAACCCCCCCCCCACCCTCCACCCTCCCCAGGGAAATAACAGAAAAGCAAGCCTCAGGGTTTCAGACTTCAAACAAAGAACTGCTCAAACAACAGGCCAAAAAGGAAAGAAAACCAAGTCTCCAAACTCAACTAGCCAGGTCCCCAGTGGAGATTGTTGCTGGAAATTCAGTGTGATCTTATCCAACATTTTCCCCCTTGTTTCCCTCTTGTTTCCCTCTCTCTCTCATTCAGAGAGAGAGAGACAGGCAGACAGACAAACAGACATGGACATGATATAAAAGTGAGAACATTCCATTAAAAAATCTTTTCAGATTGTGACATGAGCAAAGTTACAAATGAAGAGCATCCATCAATGAGGAAAACAGATGTAGTTGATGCCCGCCCAAGCTTCTGAGTCTGCAATCGGCCATATCACCATCAGTTACCTGATTATAAGCACAGCAATAAGGAGTAACTAAAATTTGAATGGATCTTCCAGGACAAAAGAAAAGTCCTCACACAAATGCCACCCAAAATTCCTGTCTAAGGAACTGAGCATCCTGACTCAGGTATGTTTAAAGGTAACCAAGAAGAGACAGACCGAGGTTGGGGGATTTTGGAAAAAAGATAATTCAAGAAAGGCAGAACAGTGACTGGACTCTGAGCCTCTGGAATCCATGGGAAGTAGAAGCGGCACTAGCCAGGATTAGTCACTGGCTGTGTCATTTAGGGTGAGTTATTTTCTCTTTTTGGGTTTCATTTTCCTCTGTCAAATAGGTATTAAAATTACTACCCCCCGTTGTTCACAGGCTGGGATTAAATGAGAAATGAGAAAAGTCATTGGCACCTGAAGGAAGTCCAACACCTACTAGGTACCAGAAGTTGGACGAGGGTAGGAAAACCATCTTTTCACAGAGATACCATGGGCACAAGGGAATTTATTTACCATTTTCACACAAGGAAACCAAAGTTCAGATCTCTCCCAAGATCACAGATAGAATCAGCAGGCGATGGAGGTGGACTCTTAGCAAGGTAGAAATATAATTCTCCATGCAAAACATAACCTTAATAAGACCCATGGTGATCAGGAATGGTTAAATCCCAACTTGGAATTTCCTGAGAATTTCCTGCCAGATTCTCCCAGCTCACCTAATTCACTTTTAATTTAGCCTCTGGATCCCAACATCAGAATCTGATATCACCAAGATTTAAAAGAAAGATGTTGGGAGGAAAGGGAGAAACAGTGGTCAAATTGTGTGACTGAAGTATGTTCAGTATGGGGAAGGACACAAATCTGGCAAAGACATTTTACTGTGCCAGCTTTTACCAACGGGGCCTGGGGACACGGGCAGGTGGGCAGTGGAGACCTACCGCCTCCCTTCACAGCTGACCCACATGCTGAAATTGCCCACGTGGTGGCATAAATTTAGCCTTGCAACTAACCAGGAGCAAACCAGCAGGCGAGGCACATATTTACAGGCCTTCATGGACAGAAAAAATGCCCAATGTCTGCATTGAAAAGAAAGAAGGAAAGAATGGCTCCTCACACACAAAGTTGGAACAGAAGAGAAAAGCAAACAGAAATCTAGAAATGCTTCGATTCCAATTTGGATCCCACAGCTTTCTACACGTGACTCGTCAGGTGCCCGAGCCCCAGCTAGAGCTAAATGACTTACATTAAACCATCCGATCATTTTCAGGTCTACAAAATAAGGTAACCCAGGATAATACACTTTATTCTGTCAACTCAATTGGGTAGGAAGTTCCTTTGAGTAGGAGAGGATTTGGACTTTACAGAGACAGGAGATGGCACCTTTCTTGCTCACAAAACCTCTTTGCAGACAAATGAATGAACATGTTGCCTTTTCAGTGAACTGGTTTGCTTTTAGCAACAAAACTTATAATAGTAATCATGATAATAAGGCTGCAATAACACCACCACTAGCTAACATTGAGCATTTACTATGTGGCTAGCATTGTGCTAGGTGCTTGATGTATGCTAAAACCTGACACCGACAACCTTGTCTATTCGCTCCATTGCTTTCTCCATTTTACAGACAGGAATCAGTGCACAGAGAGATTGCTGTCAGTATTTTCAGCTCTTTCTGAGTCTAGAGTCCAAGCCCAAAAAGTCTGCCCTATAAGTTCCCCCCTCATCCCATAAGCTTTCATGAAGGCATCGTTCTTCCTGTATTCCTGTTTTCCTGCTGCATTGCTTGGGTAAGCCCTTACAAACCTGCCATTTCAAACAATGCTGTTTTACTCTTTCTGACTATTTACAGGCTGCAATGCCTGATGAAACCAACATGTTTTAATTTTCACATTAAAAAGAATTCCCAAGGGGATAGAACATTTGAAGGAAAGCATAACCTTTACAAGCACTCAAGGAGGCATTAAAATCCCAGTTTCCAAAATATGGTAATTCTGTCAAAGTTTGTGACTTATTCTGGAGCCCATGGGGACACTCATTCGGACCCATCTGTGAAAGCTATCAGCAGCCAGTGAGCCTTCTGGGGAGCAGGATTAAAGCAGCCAATTCGGCCTCCAACAAGGAGGCCAAGCTGCTTCATTTAGTTTAAGTCTCACCGAGATGGTTTAAAACACTCTCTAGGAAGAGATGTTCAAGCACAGTAAATTGCAGCCTCGCACACTGCAGAGCTGGTCCAGGGCCGGCCATGTCTGTATACACTCCTTGCACTGGAGCCTGCCCCTGTGTGTGGTCATGGATGCACTGACTGGAAGCAGAACTCCCTCTCATGGGAGGAATAATCTACGTGCCTAAATTAGACAAGATCCTTGCTTGACCCAGTGGATGGCATCGCATATGGGATGGATCACTTACCCTGGTGTGATCTGGCCCAACCCAGATTATTTATGGTTCATAAATGTCTCGTTGGACCCCAGCGTAGTCCAAGATCACGTAACAAAGAATAATGGGATTAAAAATCTGTATTTCATCGCAAGATCTGCATGGCAGATTAGTAATGCTCTGATTGCTTTTCGGGAAACCGAGAGCAAAGAGAAGGAAGTATAAACACGCCTCCATGAAATCTAATGTGGAGAACATATTGAGGCTTGTGTTTCAGCTAGGCTGTGCAGTCCTGCTCTGGAGGTTTGTCACCGTTCTGAAAGCACAAGCTAAAATTAAAGCTAAATAATTTGAGAGCCATTTCTTCACCTGGAAGTCTCAGCTAAGTCCTCATCCCTCCAAGTCTCTGAGGTTTCTGACATCATGAACTGAAATAACTACTCTGCATGAACACCACCAGGTGCTTGGCTTTTAAACCCACTCCCCCTTTTTATTATTATTTTTAAAAGCTAGCTGCACCTCTTCTGGAGAATGCTGTTTCTACAGCACTAAGATATGAGCGTCTCCATAGGACACTCTATAGGCTGTGACATGTCACTTTGCAACTGCGCTTTCTGATAAGCATAAAAAAGGGAAAAGGTGCCAACCGACCACCGAAATGCCACCTGGCCAAGAAAAGAGAGCCCTGATGTCCACCCCCAACACCCAGCCTCTAGCTCTAGCTTTCTCACCCTCCCGAGAAAACACACTGTTGTTTAATTGGTGAATTAGAGCATATTTCTTACTTACCTCCGGGAGGGTGAAACGCTCAGTCTTGGTCTCGGAGGAAGCTTCCACCAGACCCTCTGAGCTTGTCAGTTGCCCCAGTTCACTTTCTCCCCAAGTCTGGCTTCTAAGAATGCAAGCAGGAACGTGGGTAGCCAAAGCATCTTCTCGAAACCCTTCTCACAATCTGGAGCCTCACTGAAGCCAGCGGTGGGCTCAAGCCTGCTCTTGCTTTCGCTCACGGAAATCAGCACTACTGGATGCAGACCCTGCTGGGGATCCACGCAACACGGGAAAAGTGTGACTTTTACCCTGCCTTTCCATCTGAGCGCCTTCCTGAGCACCCCAGTTTCATCTTAACTCCCATTCTTCACGACAAGCAGCAGGAAGTCACAGACCCCAGCCTCGGCGTCATCAACTCATCCTGAGCCAGACCTGGGGCAACCAGTCAGCCGGTCAGAGAGTCCAGATACTGAACCAGGAAATGTGCAGCTCAGCCAAAAAAATAATAATAACTGTTGGCGGAGCTGCTGGAGGTGCCGGAGAAGTCGCTGTTGCAGTGCTAGCATCCTCCGCATGCTAATGAGGTCGTGACGTCAGCAAGTCAGTCCCGGCATCTGGACGTTTAGTCCCTACTGCCCAGAGCTGAGATTTATTTACATGTAAATTAGCCTCGCCTTCCAAATCAATAATCCCCAAGCCAGGGAGGGGTGAAGAAAGCCGCTGCTGGATGCAAAGGCCTTGGCTAAGCACCCTCCAAAGGAGTACAAAAATATCACATGCAAGAAAGAAGAGCGATTTTAAAGATACGTTTCTTTTTCTTTTTCTTTCTAAAGGCTGGCTGTGCTCTTAGGAACCAGAAATCAGATTTGGGCACAATTCTCAACCCGAGGGCCTGGGTGGGATCATGCACAGCACCAGTCCGGGAATGGAATCAGAGGTCTTCCTCCCTATCCCCTCCCCAAAAGGCTGTGTTGAGCCCTCAAATATCTCTACTTTCTTTTCTTTCTTCAACTTTTATTTCGGGGTGTTTGCTGGCTTGAGACTATCTCATTCTTCGAATTTTGTGCACCCCTGAAATAAAATGCATCCCACTGTCTGCCTTCCTCATGTACTTGGGTGGTGAATTAGTCAACCAAGCCCAGTCCCAAGCCCTGAGCCCAGATTCAAGACAGCATGGGAGATGCCAAAACACACACCTGCCCAGAGCCTCTGAGAAGCCTTAGACCCTTAGAGAGCATTACTGCATCTCCTCATTTTACAGATTAGGAAACCAAAGCTTTGGGAGGACAAGGGCTTTTCCAGGTCAGAGAGGGACTTCAGCAAGGACGGGTCAGAACCAACATTTCCTGGCCCTCAGACTGGATCCAGCCTTCATCTCTATGAACCAACAAAAAGGCCTATGCAAGCGATCACAGAGAAAAACTAATGAATTGGGTAGCACTGAGTTCAAATCCTGACTTTCCTTCCTGCTAATGCTGTGACCCTGGCAAGTAACTTTTGTGGTCCTCAGTTTCTTCAACTGCACCATCCCTTCACTCAATAAATGTTTGCTAAGTCTCTATTCTGTGCCCCTTATTCTTCTAGGGCTGGATATCAATACAGTATTTGCTCTCTTTGAATTCATGTTCCAGCACAATTAAGTAAAAATATTTAATAGAACTGTGAAGATTGACACAATATCACATTATCAATAAAGAGCAGCTATTTCTGAGAGTGGGTTGTCAGAAAAGTCATATTTTTTTCTATGTTTTTCAAGCAAAAATGCGTCATGGCTTTTCCAACAACCAAATATTTTGGACGCAGTCAGAAAAATTTGCCAATAAACATCCTAGCGGATGTTTATTGTTTCTAACCTCTCTGAACTCCCACTGTCATCTCTTATTGTTTAAAATCAATTGTTCGTCCACTGCTGCCCATGTTTCCTGGACTAGATAAGAAGCAAGTGCAAGCCAGTACTCTGGGTTCTGTCTGTGTTATGGAAGGACTGCAAGTTCCTTAGGTGGAGAGTGAGTGAGGGGCTGGGGAGCTGGAGAGGTGTATTCCATCATGTGCAGAAGAGTCCCCAAGGACAAAGCAGCCAGCACAGCTCCTTGCCCACACTCCCCCGCCTGAAGGACCCCCTCTCATCAGCTCTGCTCTTCCAGCTGGAGTTCCTGAAGCTTCAAATGAATTTCTTTGTTGGATGTGGGAAAGTTAAATTATGTCTTTTGTTACAGGTAATTGTATTAATAATGCTTAATAACTTCTTTCAGAATGCTTCTCTGGTTCACAGCAGACCTTTCATGGTGAAAATCATGGGACCTGAAATAACTTTCCATTGATAGAAATGGAAAAACAAGTGAATGAGTAATACTCTGCTTTAGGTCTTCATCACATAGAACTCAGAGCATGTAGGGAAGCAGATGGCTGCCCCAGATTCAATATCCCTCAAACATACAGTTTGAAGCCAACAATGACCATGTGGAAAGAGTGACATCTTACTCTCGTGTGCCCATGAAGTAGTCAGTTCAATTTTAATATGTCCCAGTTTCTTCATTTAAAGATGCACCCACTACTCTCTGACATACTTATGATCAACACAATCATATGAGAAGCAATTTCAAAAGTGATTTATGGTTAAATAATGAAGAGCAAAGCTGGAACATAGAAAGTGACAAGAGATTAATCTTCATTTGGAGTAGATATGACACGACTATCAAGTTCATAAGAAGTAACAATTTAACTTGGAATCTGGAATGGGTTGCCTGGGTCAGATCCTGGCTCAGACACTTGCTAACTTTGGGATTTGGGGCCTGAAGTTTTCATCTATATTAAGAGGGACAATCATCACGCCTACCCTTACAGGGCTGTTTTGAAGATCAAATGATCCACAATGTGAAGCACTTGCCCCCAAGCTTAGCACACAACAAATGTTCAATAAATTTTTGTTCTTGGTAGTATAACGGGTATTGCCTTCCATGTAAAATTTGGCACTAATTATCGATAGTTAACTGACTAGACAGAGTGCAAAAGGTGGAGATGAAGTGGGGCAATGGAAAAATACAAAATCATCTACATTTCCAGGGTACAACTCAAAGCCTTACCTAATGTGGATGAGCTACTGACATACTGTTCCTACCTGAAACAAAACTTTTCAATTGCTGTGACACTAGGGAAGAAAGAAGTAAAAATGACCAGTGGGTACCAGGGGCCTCCTCTTCTGAAGCTACACAATAGGGCAAGTGAGCTGTGTTTCTAGGAAGCATTCATTCACATATCCATTCATCCATTAATTGAGCAGCTACTATATAATTAGTCACTAGATTAGGCTTGAGGGACATTATGGTGACCAAGTCATATATAGGCCTACCTTACAAGACCTTAGAAATGAGAAAGGATGACAACTGATCAGCAATTGAAGTAGAGGGTGAAGTGTGCTGTGATAAGAGTTCTCAAAGTGTAATGGAGGAAGGAGGGGGACAGTGACAAAGCACATTGCTGGTACCCTGACAGCAAGTTCCCTATGAATGTGGTTGATTGGTGGAGAGGCTGGAGATCCCTGTATTAATCTCACAGGCTACTGAAGAGACCAATCCATGGGTCAACAATTCCTTATGATAATTCTCTTTATCTTGAGACCATTCTAGTCAGGGTTTCTGGAAAATATGCTATTAGGTACAGATTTCTCTTGAATTCCAAAAGTAAACATTCCTATTTGGTAATGATTTTGTAGGTTATTTTGAGGGTCTGGGAACTTTATTACCATTAATTTACATGGGAAAATGTTTGAACATTACCAGATCCTCAAAATAACCTACTAAATCACACCAAATGGAAACAGTCTACATTCAGATAATGGGGAAATCCTGTCTTATATAAGGTGAGGCAACAAGGACTTTGGAAATTTCAGAGACCTGGTAAGTAGAGCCAGAACTTGCACTATTTTTATAAGAACAGAATGAAATTCCACATTCAGGATAGCAAAACTTCATGGGAGGAAGGTGGGGTTGGGAGAGAATAGGCAGTACTATGAAACTATCAATATTTATTCGGGATGCATGAAATGCTGCACACAATTGGTGGGAGACTGTGCAACTGATGACCTTCAGAACTTTCTACTGAGGTAGAACAAAGGATATTTGTATAAAATGGCCATAAGCACCTACAGTACATAGGAAGAGGGACAAGGAGGTCAAGATTGTGGCTGAGATGATCAGAAATCAAGAAAAGTGTGTTTTGAGTCAGGGAGAATGTCAAAAATGTTACCTTTTTAGGATAAAAAAAATTTATTGTAGGGAAGTCATTACTACTGAAGATGACACTAAATCCAAAAGCCATAAATGAAAAGACTACCGAAATTTCCAAGGTCAAATTTTATCTGAGAGGGTGTTGCAGACAGAAGAAAGAGTATGATCGTGAGGGAAAGTGAGCCTGCATGGGCTCCAGGGGCAGGAGATGACAGAGACGATGAGACTTGACTGCTAGAAAATCAGATCAGCTTTCCTTTCTAACCAGCACTAGTCAAAATCTTGTTAGAAGAAAGGGTGACTCAAGGCTGGTTAGCTTAAAGAGAAGACTCAGGGATGACAGGGCCATGTCCTCCGAGGTGAAGGGATTTAGTCAAGACAGTAAAATGAACAGATTTTAGTCTCCATTTCCATAGATGTAAAATAAGAAGAGGCTTTAAACAAACTAAAGAGGCATTTCACTTGAACCTAAGGAAGACATTTGAACACTGAAGTGGTGAGATCTAGCTCGGGCAGCTCAGAGCACTGGCAGGGTCTTTGTCTTAGAAACACTTATAAAAGATGAAGATATCACCAGTCCTTGGAGGCTTACATTATTACCTTCTGGCTCTGGCATGGTGAAACCATAATTACAAGAAAGATTAATAATTACAAGAAGGACTATTACCAAAGTTTCAAGCCACTCATAAAGTTCGTATGTTCACTTTATTTAAAATGTGGTATAGATGTAAATAGTTTTAACAAACTTTATTTTAAAATCTTTATAGGATATATGATTTATAAAACTATATTTAACATATTTAGTTTTAAATAATTTGTTCAAGAGCAGTTTTCTGATACCAGATTTCAAAATCTAGTACTTTTTTATGGGAAAAAGGAGGCTGACAAAGAATTCTTTATTAGTTGGGATAGGCTAGGCTATGATGAGGTAACAAACAATTATAGACCTTAGAGTTTCCCATATAAGAACAGTTGATTTCTAATTCATGCAAAGTTGACCGGAGGCCTGAGGCTCTCCAGGCACCTCCATTCCAAGCAGTGACTCAGGGATCCAGTTGGCTCCCTTCTTGCATTTCTATGATCTCAACACATAATTTCTAGGTTATGAAGAAGAGAACTGGGGAGGCTTTTAGGTGCTTCAGCCAGGAGGCAAATGACACACTAGTCCTAAGAATTCACCTAATTGCTAGGGGGCTGGGGAGTATCTGCCTAGGAATATCATGGAGAGCACTGTACAGTTTACCACTGCTGTCAATTTTAATTTATGTCAT